GAAGAGGCTCCATTATTTTTACCTTTCAATTGCAGTTGACATTGAAGATTGTATTAGTTCCAGGTGTACAGTGCAGTCGTAAGATAGGCATTTGTGTAACTTACAAAGTGGTTATCCCCAATAAGTCTAGTACCTACCTGGCATTGTGCAAAGTTATAACAATATTATTGCTTATATTCCTCAGGTTGTACTTCACATTCACGACTATTTTTTAACTGCTATTTGTACTTCTCAATCTCTTCGCCTTTTCACCCAGCCTCCATCCCCCTTCCACTTGGCTACCCTGTCTGTTTTCTGGATCTATACGTTTGTTTCTGTTTTGTTTGTACACTTATTTTGTTTTTTAGATTCCACGTATAAGTGAAATACGCTATTTGTTGTCCTCTGACTTATTTCACTTATAATTCCTCTAGGTTCATCCATGCTTGTCACAAGTGGTAAGAGTTCACTCTGTATTGTGACAGAGTAATATTCTACTGTACATATGTACCGCATCTTATAACGCTTCATAGTTGAAGTGACTTTTGAACTGCATTGTCAAAGATGTGAGTTTTCCAGGCCAAAGAGAACTGGGGTCCATGAATGAGGCCATTCCAGCACAGACAAAAGGGGAGGTGTGACAGCAGGGCTCTCTGGGGAGTCATGTTTGGTGGTGCACAGGGTGGAAGGAGGGCCGTGAGAGAGGGAAGGCTGGAGAAGGGAGCATGGAGGCAATGGAGAACTCAAAAAGGAGGTGCAGCAGAGTCACATTAGAAAGCTCTTCCTGCCACATTGTGGAAAATGGAACAGAGGAGGGGTTGTTGTAACCTTGAGTTGCCCTTGTCCCACTCCACTGTTTTCACAGCTCTGGCATTTAAAAGTCATATACAAATATTTGGGGATATATCTCACAAAGACCAAAATCAATATCATATCGATTTTAATTCTGTTCTCTGAAAAGCCACTGTGGAATAAACATTCCTGACCATTGTAAGACATAATAGATATTTATTGTAGATTCTTTTCAATTCTGGAAATAAAAAAGAATGACATTTGCTTTACCCACTGCTCCAAACTGCTTTTGTTCATTAAACAACTCTTTCAGGTTTAGAGGTGGAACTTCCCTCTTAAGCTCAGTTGGTTAAACTCACACACTTGGTTTTTCCTTCCTCCCTTCCTTTCTTTCTCTTTCTCTTTCTCTCTCTCTCTCTCTCTCTTTCTTTTAATAGTGACCGAATCCCTCTAACCCAGTTTCATATCTCCTATGAATTTAGACTTGTGTTTGTTTGTTTTTACTGCACCAAAGCCATACCTCAACTATGAATCATCCTATCTAGATTTTTCCTAAAATGCTTTTCTCAAACTGAGACTCATTTCTTGCCAGTGACCAGTCATCTACCTAGGAGACTGTGTTCAGTATCAATGCATGGGTGCTCAGGACCTTATGCCAAACCACAGTAGGGTTCTCAACTCTGGCTACAAGTTACTAGTACAATCATCTGAGAGCTTTACTTATTTTAGTGCCCAGGACTCACCTGATTCTAATTAAACCAGAATCTCGGGGATTAAACCAGAAACTCTAATTAAACCAGAAACTCCTTGCCCTGCCCCTCCTTGTATCTATCTATCTATATCTATCTATCTATCTATCTATCTATCTATATGATTTTTTTCATTTTTTAAATTATTTTTATTTTATTTTATTTTTTTTTACAGAGAGGAAGGGAGATAGAGAGTTAGAAACATCCATCAGTTGTCTCCTGCACACTCCCTACTGGGGATGTGCTCGCAATCAAGGTACATGCCCTTGACTGGAATTGAACCTGGGACCGTTGAGTCTGCAGGCTGATGCTCTATCCACTAAGCTAAACAAATTAGGGCCCTCCTTGTATCTTGTTGTTGATTTCTTTTCTCTGTTTACTTTCATTTAGCTTTTGGTTTGAGATAATTGCAGGTTCACGTCATAGTAAAAAAAACAAAACACCTCCCACAGCTCCCCCCCCAGTGGTGACATAGGCAATAGCACCAAACCAAAATGAGTTTAATGTCTTTCATCTGCTCTCATAGGCACTAGGGGTTTTGAAAATTCAGAGTTGAGGAATCACTTTGGCATGATCACATGATCACAGACTTCTAATCAGATCAACCAGGTAACCGGTAAGGGTGTGAACTAGAGGGAGAGACGACTTCTCTGGGAGCAGAGATTTCCTCAGGCCACCAGCTCTGTTGCTGTAACAGGGATCCGAGGCAGAGAAAACCAGTTTACAATGCATAATGATATGTCTTTATTTCATCAACAGAAATGGTGTCTAGACAAAATTTAGTTAACACTAGCAATTCAACTGAGTGAAAAAATTTTTTTTGCACAATAGTGTATTTACAACGAGTAAATGAAGTTTTAATTCATTAGTTCATAGCAATGCTTCCCCCCCCCCGAAAAAAAAGGTAAAAATTCTTAGTTACAGAGAATAAGCATCAACAGCCATTTTCATCTTTACAAGAAAAACCACAAGAAAAACCACAATCACTTAGGAAATAAAAGACAAGCCTAAGAACTAGTATAATAAACCGATGCACTGAATTAAGTTACATTAATCGCATAGAATCTGTGTAAAAAGTATGTAGAAAAACACCTGATGTAACCTGTTACAGTCGTTGACCAGTTATGAGAGGTACAGAGGGTTATACAGGTAGATATGTGTGAAAACTGTCCGTATTGTTCGACCTGGGGAGGAGGAGAAGCGGGGCTGCGGCCCCTTGCATACACTGAGAAGACCCTGTTTTGAATATGGCCTCTGGAGTTTGTAAGGCATATATGAGAGGTGCACTTGCATCCGACTGGTTCTGGAACAAACTCTCACAGGCCCTCTTGGCCTCTCAAGCAAAGGCGGGCGCTTGCCCAGAATGGCTCAGGGGGTCTAACCAGCACCCAGAGCTCCCAAGTGCATCTGGAACCTTCCTGGTTCCTCGCTAGACGTTGCAGGTCTTCTACATCCCAGCGTGCATGGGCACCTGGCATTCACACATGCAAAGTGCACTGTGAAGACTCAGGCGGAGGTCAGCCACACCAGACATGTTTCGGTAGAAGTCTTAGCATCAGTCTGTAGGAAAACCCCTCTTTGTCCAAGTCCCTTTCCCCTTTCCTGATACACATACAGTCGGACCACCCCACGGGAGCATTTGGCACTGAATGCCAGTCTACCTGAAATGAGCGAATGGTCTGAGTGCACTTCTGCTTCAAAGGAGGGCCGCGGCTTCCTCTGAGGTCAATAACCTGGAATGAACGTGCGAGTCGGAGCTGTCTGTCCGTTGCTTGGTACTGAAATGCACACACCACACCACGCTGTGAAATCATCTCCATATCACAATGAAAACACACTGATAGTCATCTGATATAAATATTACCTCCCAGGGTGGAGTGTAGGAAAAAATACTATACATTTAACTTTTCTTTGCAAGAAATGTGTTGCACCGTCAGTTGAATAATTTATCCTTGATCTGCCACAATAGTCATTTCCTATGTACAAATACTATTTGCACACGTGTGTGTGCAAATATCTCCTATTCTGCAGCATCCGTCTTTGATGCTTGGGTCATGAGATGGCTTGGGCAGTGTTAGAAACACACAGCTCGAACACAGAATGCCTCCCCACGGCCACCCAGGGCACTGCGCTGTGGACTGGCCTGCCAGAAACTGAACCGACAACAAAAATCCTCAACTTGGGGAAGAAACACTAACTCACGATCCAGTGAACAGCTTTAGTCTTTAAACACACACAGACACACACACACACACACACACACACACACACACACACACACACCATGTTCTCCAGTCTATTTACAGTGATGAGGAAAAAACTTGATTCTTGCTTCCTTCTAGAGCTGACTCCTCCAAACTAAGCGACAGTGGAGCAGTTTGAAGTCCTTGCCTAAGCAGCCCCCAGTGTGAATGGGGTGTGATGTACAGAACTAGGCAGCCAAAAGGGCTCTGAGAGAGCCTGGCAGGCTTCTGCTCCTGTTCAGAGGATTATGCCGCCCACAGTGAGTCTGCTCACAGGGCAGGATTTGGTAGCTTATCCCATTTACACTTTTGTTTCTTCTTTTCGAATGGCCATCACAAAGCATTAAAGGAGAAAGTGTAGGTGTGGACCGCTTGGCAAGAGCACAGACCGTCACATTGTGCCCACCTGACCTTGAGCAGTCTTCCCGTGCTCCCTGCTCTCTCGGCTCCCTGCTCTCCTTTTCAAGAAGGGGCAGTTGGCTGACTAATCAACAGCCTTATTTATTTATTTATTTTTTAGTCCCTTGGGAAAGCAAGACAAGGATTAAATCCAAAATTATAGTGCATCTTAAGAGCAGCATACCTTCAGAAAGACAGTGAATAAGTTACTTGTACACTATACAAAACCACACCTCTCTGCAGCTCACCTCTGACACCGCAGCCATGGCCAGGGACCCAGAGGGAAGGAGCAGGAGGGCCTAGGAGCTGCCAGCTTTTCTTCCTTTCTTTTCTTTTTTCTTTTTTCTCTTTCTTTCTTTCTTTCTTTCTTTCTTTCTTTCTTTCTTTCTTTCTTTCTTTCTTTTTTTTTGCAACTGCTTTGTTCCAGAATCAGTATGTAATGAAGTTCATTAATTCAAGGCACCCCCAGATAACGCAGAGAAACAGACACATACAGCAAAGCACTCGCCTGCTCAAAGCCTGAATGAAGTGAGGCCATCGGGAGCCACACACACAGAACGAAGGTAGGTGCAAGGGGAGGACTAGATTCAGGCAGCTCTTAGCCCGTCACCTCCACTGCCTCTGCCCCCGCAACCCAGACACTCAGAGCTCCGACTTGGCTGGCATAGGGATCCCCCTAGCCAGCCCACGGGGGGGGGGGGGGGGGGGGGGGGAGGGTCCTTCATTTTGGTAAGAAAGACCTTAAAGAACGCTGTTCCTCCCAGTTCACTTGCTTTTCCTTTTCCTACGAGACACAGGCTTCACTAAGGGGCCCTGGGGAAGGAACAGGCTGGTGTTAAAAATTCCACTTGAGGCAGTTTGGATTCTGGTCCCCAGCTAGTCCTCCCTTTGAATGGACCCGGGAATAATCTTGACAAACACATGCTTCAGAGCAGTACCAGACAGGGACATGTCGCATTGCACAGCGTTCTTCGCTGTTCATGGCGGATGGTGAGCAAAATCAGAACAACTTGTGAAAAAGAAATCGAAAGACAGTTTTTTCAAGCAGTGTTTTTAACCAGTTCCTACAGCAAGGGTTTGGTTGGGGGAGAGGAATAAAAGCGAGGAGGGGGCTGGCAGGAAGAGGGGGTGGACAGAGTTGGGGTGGAGAGAAAGAGAGAGAGTCCCTCCCCCTGGGAGTGGCCGTGGCACAGGTGTGTGCAGACGGACCCACAGGGAGGGATGGACAGAATGTGGTCAAGACTACCAGTTGCACGTGAGTTGTTACCAATGGATAACTGATGCCAACAAGTTGTTTGGACCTGGTTATGATCTGAGCAGAAAACATTTTTTTTTTTTTTTTTTTTTTTTTTTTTTGAAAAAGAGGTCACGTAAAAAAGGAAACAAGAGTGTTCAAAAACAAAATACTGTTGGCTGACTCCACCACAGCACAGACTTGGGATGGGTCACGCAATTAGCATTGAGTGTAAATTCGAGCTGTCACCAGCCTTCCACCGAGGCGGGCGGACCCCTTGGTGAAGCACAAGGCCTGTCTACGAGGCAGAGAAATGCCAACAGCCGCGATGCAGGGGCAGCGCTGGTACGGAGCTCAGTGACACACACACACACACACACACGCACACGCACACGCACGCGCGACACGAAAACCCAGAGGCAGGTTTTAAAAGTGGAGCTAGTTTAAAAGAAAAGCCTTTTTTGTGTGTTTTTAATCCTACGGCATGAACCAACGTATTTCCGGCATTCATACATATTCCAACGTTTAAGCGCTAATATTTGTACAGAAGTTAATAATACTAAAACATGTTACTATGGTTTCACTTTTGCCTACATCATATACTAATTCCCCCTTTTACATGCAGCTTTAATATTATTGTCCAAACAATGGCACAAATAAAGAAACAAAGTCAACCATCTAGTCCCCGGTGCCCACCACCCCATCCCCCACATCAAACCCTCAGGGACTCTTCCCCCCGCCCCCGGCTGCTGGAGCGAGGGAGCTGATTCCTCCTCCTCTGCGGCTGGCTGGCGCGGGGTCTCAGCACACTCTCCTGTAAACGTGGCCAGGGGCCCACACCCGCCGCCCCTCCCCTCCCCCCAAACCCCCAGCCGAGGGAAGCTGTTCTCTGTGGGTTGCAAGCCAACCAACCAGCTTTGCAGCAAGAGAAGAAAGTGATCACCAGGTGAGGGGCAGGTGTGTGTGTGTGTGTGTGTGGTGGGGGGCAGGGGCAGGGCAGGCTCCTGGCCACACCACATCCAAAGACTCAGAATGAAATCTGCCTGGGGGCAAGAGACTGGCGGGGAAAACCTCAGAGTTCAGCTCGAAGCATTTGGAGAAGAAAGGGAGGGAGAAATGCTCTCCCTGGTGTCCTGGACAGACCTCAGGCTCGCTCCGACCCGCTCTCTCCTACGCTGGGTGAGCTGCGCCGATCCAGGGCAGCCGGGCAGAGGCGGGGCCTTGGGGCTGCCCATCACCCTGCAGGTGAGCTCTCCCAGGAGGCCAGTCCTGCTCAGCCACGGCCTTCCAGGGAGAAGGTGCTGCCACACTGCACCCCCAGGGCGGGGGAGGCCGCGTGAAGTGTTGAAATGAACAGGACTTCCTCCCTGGTGAGAAAGCAGTTCTGACTTATTTCCAGGAGCCAGCACCTACTGTTCCGATGCACTTCCGAGTGAGATGCCCAAACTCTCTCCCCACGTGGGAATCTGAGCATCCAGCATCAACTCCGACCTCTCCACCTGCATTTCCACTCTGCTTAGGAAAGGTGGGGAGGAGGTGAGATAGAAAAATATTCAAGCAGATTATTGTCGACACATCCTAGGATGAATTCATTATTTGGCAAGATTGTTGTTGTTTTTTTTTTTTTTCCTATATAATTATCACCTGAGTGGTTGTTGTTTTTTTTTTTTTTTAATGAGCTAAAATGTTTTACTTTTAAACTAAAAGCAAAGAATATACAGTATACTCGAGTTATACGGAAGTTGCAACTTCATTTAACAAAATAGGTTTGACCCAAAACCCAGTGCAAGTGGCAAAGTTGACCATGACTGTACAGTGTCTGCAGAAACAAACCCACAAACTCAGATGGCACCACCTGACGGTGCCAAACCCAAACCAAACAGAAAAGGCTGTCTGAAACAAAAACCTTAAAATGAAAACTCCCGACATCGAATTCTGTCCATAAATAAGTACAAATTGAAGTTGAACTGTGAAGCAAGGAAAAAAAAAACAAAACTGACCATGTTAACAGTTACCAAACTAGTTCTAGCATCAGAGACAAAAGAAGAGGAATGTTGGAACCTGTCTGTCAGTGAGAAATGAAGTTTCCAGTTTTGGGATGAGAAAACTGAGGCATGCAGGACTTTTGCATATGGAGATATATATATATACTTTATATATATATATTATATATATAATATGTACAGTCTAGCTATAAAACTTTGATGTGTATAGAAGCTGTCTTCAATGAAAAAAATTGAACATTCAGAAGAAATTCCTGAGATAGGGCTTGTGACATGGGCCACTGAGAAAAAAATCCGTGGTTGGGTCCTAGAGGTGTTATCGTCCATCCCTGTTAAGATTGACAATTAACCCACAGACAGACAGTGTCGTCACTGCTGTCTTTCTTTCCTTGCCGGGGCAAGGGGTAGCACCATTGTGAAGGTAACGATCGCTCCTGCGTGGAGAGAGGAGGGAATCCTTGGAAACAGTATTGCTGCTGAGGCCGCTGCTGTAGTGTGCACCCAACTCCTTCTTGGTTCTTCCAGACGACAGCCGGACAGCGCCACCTGGCGGGGAGGTGTGAGAACGCGGAGGCGGGCCGCCTCTCTAGGTGTAATCTTTCCTGGGCTGTTCGTCAGTTGTACACTTGTCAGTCATCTCCTGGCAGAAGTCCACGGTCACCGTCTGGCTCCTGGGTTCCAGAGGAGGGCCTCTCTCTGAGAAGGTTCCAGGGTCAGTGCCTTCCAGCCTCCGCGCAGAGGTGCAGTTCTCTGAGGCGTTGCCGGGGGCCCAGGGGGGCCCGGGCGGAGCTGTGCCCTGCTCCAAACAGCAGGGCACCGTGTCCCCAGCCGCACACGGAGGGGCAGCCAGGCTCTGCTCCACGCCCAGGGGCGCGGGGCTAACACTGGAGGCTGTGGGGAGACCCGTGGGTCTGAGGACGGGGCAGTACCGATGCAGGGCCTGGACCTGCTCGGGGCTCTGGATGTCTCGGCACACTTCCTGGGAAAGGCAGGAGAAGTTGTCCAGCAGTTCCCCCATGCACGCTTTCAGCTGGTTCCTCTCGGACAGCAGCTTCTCTTTCTCGCACACCTGGACACCGGGGAAACAAGAGACGCCGGTCAAGCCTGCGCCGGACCTGAGACCTCGTTGCTGGGCTTCCCAGGATCCAGAAACTCAAAACTTATGCACCCAGGTCGCCTCTCTGTGCTGCCCATCCGGACAGGCACCCATCCTGACCCCCACCCCTACCTCCCCATGGCAGCTCTTTGTCCCTCTCGGTGGCCTGGCCAAGTGACCGGTAAAATCACCACCAACCAGAACACTTCTTTTTCCAAAATTATTATATTTTAACCCTTACCTGAGGACATTTTTTTCCTTTGATATATATATTTTAGAGAGAGTGGAAGGGAGAGGGAGAGACAGAGAGGAGCACAGATGTGAGAGAGACACATCTATTGGTCGCCCCACACATGCTGTGGACCAGGGCTGGGAGTCTGCAACCAAGGAACATGCCCTCGACAGGAATTGAACCTGGGACCCTTTGGTCCACAGGCCGACGCTCTGTCCGCTGAGAAAACTGGCTAGGGCTCAGACCACTTCTGGGAGTCAAGGTTCCTGTTTCTTGGAATTTGGAGTTTGCAGGCAATCAACTGGAAAACTCTTGGTCTCAAACCAAGATCTGAAAATCTCCCCCAGATGTATTAGATTGCTATTTTGGAAGGTCAAAAATAATTGAGCAAGGCAAAACTATGGCGACCAGTGATTGCCAGGGGGTTGGGGTGGTGTGGGAGGGATGAATAGGCACAGCACAGAGAATTTTTAGGGCAGTGAAACTATCCTGTGTGATAGATACATGGTATTATGTTATTATACATTTGTCCAAACCCATAGACTGTACCCCAAGAGTAAGCCCTCATATAAACTGTGCACTGGGGTGATTTTTTGTGTGTGTATGTTACTCCTCACCTGAGGATAGTTTTCCATTTATTTTTAGAGAGAGTGGAAGGGAGAGGGAGAAGAAGGAGAGGGAGAGGCAGAGGGAGAAGAGGGAGAAGGAGAGAAACAACGATGTGAGTGAGACACATCAATCCGTGGGCCCCAACCAGGGCCACGGATCGAGCCTTCAACTGAGGTATGTGGTCTAGACCAGAATCAAACCCGGGGAGCCTCAGTCCATGGGCAGCTGCTCTATCCAAGGAGTGAAACCCATCAGGGCGACTTTGGCCGATTCTGATGTGCCAGTGCAGGTTCACGGATGGTAACACATGGAACTGGTGGGGCATGCTGATGATGGGGGAGGCTGGGAGTGGGAAGGAGCAGGGGGCCTATGGGAATTAGGTTTGCTGTTCAATTTGGCTATGAACCTAAAACTTCTTGAAAATATTTAAACTGTGAAAACTTAAAAAATGTGGTTATTGGCAATTCCAGATGGTTCCATCCAACCTCAGCAGACTCAGGGGCCTTTGTTGCAGGCCCCTGAGCATACAGACGCTGGTCAGGGCGGCTGGGCACCAACCGGGTAGCGAAGCTGCCTCTCCCTGGACAGCAAGAGGGCACTCAGAGCTGTGGAGACAGAGGTTCTCAGATGTTTCCCTTCAAGAAAATCCCACACAAGCTCCTGTGCTTCTCAAATCCATCACCCCCTCAGAGAGATGAATTTAGCACCAGAGGGGAGAGGGGTTAAGGCTTTACCACAACTACTTGTGCGAGGAGAGAGGGTCAGGAGGCTCCAAGGTGGGCACGCAGTGAAATGGGGAAACTACACATGGAGGCCAGCATGGGTGGGCAGGAGTGGTGAGGAGAGGACGGGAGAGAAAATGAAGGGGGGACAGAATGAGAGGGAGGGGGGTGCACACATCCCCTGTGGGGGCTCCTACACCAGCTGCACGTGCCCATCGCGAATGCAGCCCGGCAGGCAGCGTGTACGAGTCTGTCAGAGACAGAGATTTATATGGGGAAAGGGCACCTGCTAAAATATTTATAAATTTTCCAAGAAAACATGTTTTAAAAATGAAAAATAAACAGATGTACAAGTGCAACTCGAGAGAAATACATTATGCAAGTTTGCAGAAGCTGAGTGGCATGCCGGAGACAGCGTGGGAGTGGGGAGGGGGGTGTCCTGCTGGGGACGTGTGGGCGGGACCAGAGCTGGCCCTGCCTGAGCCACCTGCCACGTAGCAGGCCGGGCGAGCGGGCGCGGCTCCCCAGCCAGAGGCGGTGGGTCAGAAGCCAAACCATCTGAGCTGAGCAGCCTGGACCTTCTGTGCTGTAACCTGGGAGGCTGTTAAAGAGGAAACGCCACACAGCCTGGGAGGGGGTTCTGAGGGAATCCAATCTTAATTCTGCCCCATCATCTTGGCCACACCACTGACCCCTCCGCATCCGCTGACCTGCAAGATGTCCGGGGCCACTTTCTGGGGTGAGGAGGATGAAACCCTTCGTGCGCCAGTGATTTGGCTCACTGCACACATCAAGACTTGGTTGAAAGCAGGAAGCTCTCGGGCACAGCTAGCTGTTCACGGACGAGCATGTGAAACTCATTCGGTGGTGAAATGCCGCATGTTACTTAAGGGGTTTCCAAAAAAGTGGTGGTGGTGGTGGTGGTGGGGGGTGTGTGTGGCGGGGGGAGAACCAGATGCCCTCTTGGCTTCCCAACTGAACAATATTAGCAAGAGCTTTAGATGTCTGCCCGGTGTGTGGCGTAGACTTACTATCTGTGCATATCACACAGTCGCATGGGGAAGAATGCTAAGGACAAAAACTGGGCATTTCTGTAACATGGGCGGTTGGAGTTAGCCTGTCGCCCGAAGGAGAGTGGAGGCCGGCATTCCTGCAGACCGGGGCCTAGGACCTTGCCGTCTGGCACCCGTGGCCCATCCTGGCCCGGTCCCCCCCCCCCCCCCCCCGAAGCCCAGTGGGCTTTCAGAAGACCCACACTCACCAGCAGCCATGTGGGGCTTAGCTTACATTAAAAACGTTTTGCTGTGCTTAAGACATTATAGAAAATCTGAAACAAAGACGTAATTCATAATCCTACGACCCACTAGCAATTTTAGGTCAACGGACATTTCCTGAGGGGTGTCCATGGGTCTGTCCTGGACACTCAGAGATGATCACTGATCTGTCCTTGTTGCATGGAACCTACAGGCTCGGGCAAGGGGCTGGGGCGGCAGACACACACAGACAATGCACGACTACTAATGTGACAAGCACAGAGCCAGAGGTTAGGCTGGCTCCAGGGGCAGGGGCCAGCCTCACAGAGGCTCAGGAAAGGGCCTTCCTGGAGAGAGGGACGTTACCTGTGCCTTAAAGAGCAAGGGCAGAGTGACTGAAGATAAACAGGGGGATGTCCGAGGTGGAGGGGAAACAACAGAGGCACAAGCACAGAAGTATAATATAAAGAGTAGGAGATGTTGGGTAAGAAGCCAAATCAGACAGTTTGATTTTGCTAAGGGTCAAGTTGCAGGCAGAGAGTGGAAGGGTGCTGGAGAGCAAGACAGACTGAATCATGGAGAGCACCAGCTGTCCCGCTGAGGAGTGTGGGCTTCATTTGTAGGTGACAGGAGCCAGTGAAGATAGGCAGGTTTTCTCTGCTTGGTGGGTGTTAATTAAATAATAAAAAAGACTCTGAGGTCCAGGACTATTGTACTAACCCATAACATTGCCCTGCCAGTGTGGCTCAGTGGTTGAGCATTGACCTATGAACCAGGAGGTCATGGTTCGATTCCCTGTCAGGGCACATGCCTGGGGTGCAGGCTCAATCCCCAGGAGGCAGCCGATCAATATTCTCTCTCCGCATTGATATTTCTATCTCCCCCTCTCTCCTCTCTCTGAAATCAATAAAAAAAATATACATATAAAAAGTGAAGTCTTAAGAAATAACTGGTAACATTTATTCATGCTTTTCAAATGCCTGGCTCTTAGGTTCTCTTTAGGACGATGGCTTACCAGGAGGCAAAGAATTGCTGCGTGCAGCCTGAAGACCCAAAGGCAGACCATGGCCTCACTGTGTGGCCTCCCTCTTCCTCCCTGACACACACTCAGGATTTGGCCAGCAGAAAGGTCCAGCTGAATGAGGTTGCACTGGTTGCCCGCAAAGCTGGTGGGGAGTGAGGCCACCTGGATCTATTTCCTGTAGCTTAAGGTTGTGTCTCAAGAAGAAGGGGCACAGAGTTCTGGGGGATGGGAGCTTGTTCCCTGAGACAAAATACTCTAAGGCACAGGGAGGATGTGATAATCACGTGGAGGTGGAATTGCAAAATCAAGGACCCTGGGACAGGGAAGGGCTTCAGCAGCTGAGCTGCGTCTCAGGAGGCAGGCGTCCTTCCGCTAACCCACTTGCCTGTGGGAGGCAGGAGAAAAAGCAAGATTTGGAATCAGATAACTGGGCGGGCAGCCAAGTTATGCCACGTAGTGGGGAGTGACCTAACCCCTCTGCACTCTCCTTTCTGCCTCTGGGAATGGAGATAAAATAGTATCTAAGTCGTAGGGATGCTGTGAGGATTAACCTGCAGAAATACTTCAGAATAATACCTGGTCCACACAGGCCTGGGACAAATGCCAGCTATGAGAACACGTTGAATGGAAAATCGGAAAGAACTATCTCTCTATAAAATATCGACGACGCGTGATTACTCGCCCTCACAGACACACCCGTTGCGGATATAAAGCTATTATTTCTGCTGAGAAACTTGTTTACAAATGAACTCAAACTCCCCTGAATGGCGGCCTTTACCCCAGCTCCTCCAGCTGTCCCTGCTGTAACTTTGCACCCGTCCGGCCTCTCCAGGGCGCAGGGAGCAATGAGAGGGCCGACTCACCAGTTTGCGGATTTCACATTCTAAGTTCTGAATGCAGTCCAGCTTCCTCTTGCGGCAGCGCTGGGCCGCGATGCGGTTCTTGCTGCGTCGCCGGACGTCGTGAATGAACTCCAACTGCTCTGAGGTCAGCTTGTGCATCTTGATCATCATCTGGAAGTCGTTCCTCGGAAGATCTGTGATTTGATCTACAGGAAAGGGGAGTTTGACCTGGAACCAAGAATAACAAACGATGATTATGGCAGCTGGATTTTTAGTTTTCCTTCTGGCAGGTAGAACATCAAAGCATGGCAAAAAAAAAAAAAAAAAAAAAAAAAAAAAAAAAAAAAAAAAAATCCTTCTTTTTAAGATGACCAGGTAATATGGGAACTACTGAAAGCAAGCTGTGATTAATCCCTTCTTGCTTCAAGTATAAATACGATGTAATGTTCAGATAATCAAACAGAGTGTGATCACACAGATTTCACGGTGCTTATCATCCCTGAGACTTTTGAAGCAGGCAGCATGGGAAACACTGGGACACCTGAACGTTTTCATTGCTACAGCACTGCGGTAAGAAGGATTCTCTAGCTGGCGGAAACCTTCCATTGAGCCTCAACTCAATAAAACGACTCTGTATAGAAAGAGACCATCTAAACTCATGGTCCGAAACCCTCGAATGAAGGGAGCACCACACACCCTGACGATGCTGGAAAGATGGAACCATCGGCGTGACGCTCAGTCACCATGGCATAAGGAAGACAGGGCTTATTATCGGATAGGCTATTCCAGCATGGACAAGGAGTTAGAGCCGGACTTTTGTCATTCCTACCCGATGCAGACCTCAGACAAGTCACTCCACTTCTCTAAACCTCAGTGTGCTCCATCTGGAAAATGGGCCCTGCCTTTTAGGCTTCCAGTGCTCCTCAGGTGTTAGGCTCTTGGGCGGATTGTATTTTCCAAAAGGCAACGGCCACCCCACCTCACTTTTTCTTTTACAACGTGACATTGACCTCCTTCTGTCGAGAGGATGCACGTTCCTGCCTCAACCAACACAGGGCGGCAGGAGCGACGGTGTAACTTCGCAGGTCAGGCCATCAAAGGTGCTGCCGCTTCCGCTGAGGCCTCCTCGATGGCTCTCTGTGGAGGGAACCAGCTACGCCCTGTGGAGAGGCCCACGTGGAGAAGACCTGACGCCTCCGGCCAACAACCAGCATCGCCTTGCCAGTCACAGGAATGAGCCATCCAGGACGTCGATTTTCTGACCGTGTGGCCTCCCCCTTTCCTCCCCGAGGCAGATCTTACTATCAGCAAGATCCTCACTTTCAAACTCTTGACACATCAAAGCCAATCAGCATTATTCAAAGAGGAGACTCCCATCTCTTGAGGGATGGGTCTGTGTCCTCCTCCTATTGTGAAATGCTTGGGTACAACCTTGTCTGTGACGGTCTGCAGCACTTAAGAACCACGGCCTTCTAGAGTCTCCTCAGCACTCATGAGGTAAACACGGGCCTGCAGCTTCCGGCAGTTGGACACTACCCTCCCCAAGATCCTTCATGAAGACCCTAGTACGGTCTTTGGGATTCCGTTCTGCTTCTGTGTAAGAAGCCCCTAGAAAAGGAAGGCAGCACCTTGTTCTGCCGGGAGAGTTTCCCAGCCCAGACTGCTTCGCGCTTGCTTCCACTAGAGTTTGCTGTAGAAGACCAGCAGATGGCGCTAGGCACCTGCACTTCCTTCAAGCGCCAGCCCAGCGCTGTCCAATGCAAACAATGCCCGCTGCATCTGTGATCCTAGGTTTGCTAGTAGCCCCTGATTACAATAATTCAAAGAGATGAAAACAGGCGAAATTAATTCTAATAAAACACTGAATGAAACCATAAGAGCCAAAATATTTCAACATGTAACTAACAGAAAATTACTGTGATATTTTACTTTTTTGGATGGAAGACACTACATTTTCTTTCTTTCTTCCTTCCTTCCTTCCTTCCTTCCTTCCTTCCTTCCTTCCTTCCTCCCTTTCTTTTTTTTTTAAATATTTCTTTATTGATTTCAGAGAGGAAGGGAGAAGGAGAGAGAGGTAGGACCATTAACGATGAGAGAGAATCATTCATCAGCTTTCTCCTGCACGTGTGTGTCCTTGGCCGGTATCGAATCTGGGACCCTTCAGTCTGAAGGACAACGCTCTATTCCAAGCTGGCTAGGACAGGGAGGCACTAAATTTTCAAAATCCGAGGTGTATATGACACCCACAACGTGTCATAAAGTAGCCACAAATCTGGGTCTCAACAGCCACATGTGGCTATTGTTTTGGACTCGAACGAAACTGAGGAATCAGAAAAATAGGTCAATTAAACCTGAGTTTCACTGATCAAAATGATTTCGGATGAGGAAACCAAGCCCTTGCTAGTGTTCAGAAGGTGCAGTATTATGTCTGCGTTGCTGAGGGGAGGGCGATGAAGACATTTTGTCCCGAGCTCAAGCTTTATCTTTGGTTACATCGGATGCAGGCGGACAGGAGCCCCAGATCCTGGCTTCTGTGACTAGAGAATTCCCGAGCACAAAGGCAATCACAAACGATCATGTGGCTTTTCCACGGCTGGGTGCAACTGCTTTGTCAGGTTTCTCTGCTGCTCTGAGCCCACCGGACGCGGCATCTGCCGAAGGCTGCCAGTGAGCGCTGTGATTCGACTTGCACATGGTGAACTCTGCCCCCTGGCACCTATGACACTTTCTTGGCCCGAGAGAACAAAATCACAACGACACACATTGCACCACTCTCCGCTCATCCCCGCTCCGTCTGCTGAAGACGGGCAGCCAGGACAAACAGCTCCTTGTTACGGGCCCGGGAAAGGGCTTTGTCCATGGGGCTGTGTTTGCACAAGGCTTATACTGATATGAAAGCATGTTTGATTTCCCTTTCATACCCTTTGGATGACAAACAGACACTCAGATCCTGGACGGTGCCTAAATAACACAGAGGTCTGTGTGCGGGGACACGGATGTTTCCACACCAGGCAGAAGGCTTGTTTGCACAGCAGAGGTGGCAGCAGTTTGGGGCCTGGATGGAGCCTCCCCTCCTGCCGGCCACAAAGCCGTTCTGCTTCTGTTCTCAATCGTGTTTACCGATTTTCAGAAAGAAAATATACCTATAGTTCAGGCCACAGGGAAAGGCAGAAGGGCTTCTGTAGCGAGAGTTATACTACACTCAGAAGCATCCAGGCAGTGGATATAAAAAACTAGGGAAATAGGACAGAGGTTGACAGGAAAGAAGAAAAATCAACAATGCTCGTTTCAAAGTCCTTGAAGCAAAAGGCCATATAAAATTTCAGCAGAGCTGTTGCAAGGCCAGTTGCTTTTTAAAGAGGTCAAAGGAAAAGAAAATAGCCAGCCATAGACTTTCTTCAATGTGAGGGGGGGGAGGGGGGGAAAGCGACAAAGCAAAACGCAAACACTCTTGTTTCTTTTTAAAAGGCGCTGTTTCCCCTATAGTGAGGGAGAATTTCCACCAACACCAGAGGTGTTCTTGAGAGGCTCCCTGGTCACTCACCGCGGCTGCTTGTTATGGTCAGAGATGTGAGCTCCAAGCCAAGGGGCATGGTCCCCCGAGATGAAGAGCGGGCACAGACCCCTCATGGAGCTGAGGGAACACCCCATTCTCAAGCTCGCAGGCACCCCAGCACTCTTCAAATGGGGCTCCAAAGTCCACCAATGCTACCTGGCCTTTGGATACGCCGAAACACACCGAGGAGGCTGAGGCCCTCTCCCTTTCCTCCTGAGAGTTCTTACAACCCAAACAGGCCTAATAGGACTTCCCATCTTATTTATTATTCTTCCTCACACGTATTCCTCCGAGATTTAACTTCTCAGCAGTGGTTTGGCTTTCATTCACTGGACTCCGCGGGTAGTGCAAAAACACCCAACCAGACAAGATGAGGGTCCTGCCCACTACCGCCGGCCCCTGTCCGAATGACCGGCCTTGCAGCTACACTGTCAGCCACGGCATATGAGACTAAGCACAGGAGGCTGAGCAGGCTGCACAGGAGGGGAAGGGCCCTCCTGCGGCTTTTCCATGGGATCGAGGGCCCTGATTCCTCTTCAGGCTTGGGGCCGTGTAAGAGCCACCAGAGCTTTGGTTCTCAGTAGAGACTCTGAGTGTCAGCAAGCCCAGGGCCTGTGGCACTGGAGCCAGCCAGTTCCTCAGTGTGCATGGTCTGCCCCCGTTGGCTTGACCTGGCCTTAGGTTCCTTCTTAGCACGATGGGAGGAACAGGACAGAGGTCTTTCAGCTCAGCTTCTGCACTGCCTGGCTCAGCAGTGGCCAGAGGAGGGTGAGACCCTCTGGGGCCCCAGCTCCCGATCAGTCAGGGGAATGAGTGGCCCTGCCGTGTGCCGAGGAACCTCTGGCCCCAGAGGCTGGCAAAGGGTGGGAGAATGCCGGGTGACTTCTGGAGGGTGAATGAAATCATGGGCCTGGCCAGGGGGTGCCAGTGCGACCTTCTCACTGAACACTAGTGAGCGGCTCCACGCCCCTCCCCTGCAAGCAGCTGCCCAGCTTCTAGAGCCCTCCCTCGCATATAAAAAGTATCATTTAAGAAGTAATAGGAATCCCTAACCGGTTTGGCTCAGTGGATAGAGTGTCGGCCTATGGACTGAAGGGTCCCAGGTTCAATTCCGGTCAAGGGCATGTATCTTGGTTGTGGGCACATCCCCGGTAGCGGGTGTGCAGGAGGCAGCTGATGCATGTTTCTTTCTCGTTGATGTTTCTAACTCTCTATCCCTGTCCCTTCCTCTCTGTAAAAAAATCGATAAAATATATTTAAAAAAATAAATTATATGAGAAATGTAACTTCTTACAGAAAGTTCAAATATGAGACAAAAGAAGGGGGAAAGATTCCCCTCCCCAAACAGTAACACTCTTGCATTGGTGGACTTCCCTGTGATCTTGTTTCCTCTGAATATTTTACGGGGTTTTAATGAGACGGGTTGTCATCACCTCCTGTGTCTCTTAACACATCTCATGTGCCTGGTGTTTCTGGGTGGCTGGATGGGGGCTATTGGAGAAGGACGGAGGTAAAATGTTGTAGAAAAAGCCAAAAACAAGCATCTATTTCCTCTAGAAATCCCAGTGGAAGCTGGAGTGTGAGTCTTTTTTGCTATCTGCTTTTTCGGTTTCAGTACCAGAAGTCGAGTAGAAGGCACAGGAGTCGATCCTACTAACAGTATCCAGCTCTG